ATATTGAAGTAGTGAACGTACTAACTCTAGAATTTCTAAACAAACTTTCAACTTCTGGTATCCCTAATCATAAAATCAAGTTGAAGATTGGAACTCCAATTATGTTATTGAGGAATTTAGACCAGTCATAAGGATTATACAATGGTACAAGATTGATTGTGACTCAAATGACAAACCATGTACTTGAAGGAAAGATCATGTCAGGTAAGAATGTTAGAAATATCATATATATTTCGAGGATGTCGATGTCTCCCTCACAAATTCAATGACCTTTCAAGCTTATAACAAGACAATTCCCTATAATTGTTTCATATGCTATGACAATCAACAAATCTCAAGGCCAATCACTAGAGAGTGTAGAGTTATATCTACCAAAACCAGTATTCAGTCATGGTCAATTATATGTTGCTATTTCAAAAGTTAAAAGCAAGAAATGATTAAAGATTTTGATTCATGATAAGGATGGTAACCCACTAAAGTCAATAACTAATGTGGTTTATAAAGAAGTTTTTCAAAATCTTTAACAGATATTCATCAAATTATCTTTAATTATGTTATTTCAGTTACCATCATCTTATTTCACACGATAGGTTTAAGTCGCACTATGTCAATCCCCAACATCTGTTATGAATGAAAGTTGCGTTGTTAACAGGTATTCATCAAATTATGTTTAATATTGTTGGAAGTAATTTTTAATATTCACAAATTATCGTGTTATTCTTCAATAAAATTTATGCAACACGCATTACTACTCGTGCGAATGCACGGGTAATATACTAGTTTATCAGTGAAAATACATGAATATTTTTTAGTGAAAATAACATCAATTTTTTATTATTCCTTTCAAGATTGAAGGTAAAAAACAATAACATAGCTTAATATTCATTTCATGTACTTTTTTGTTTGAGCTTCCACTTTTGTCCTCTACATATGTCAAAATTACCTAAGATAATTCTATTAAAGAAACAACCAACATGATGGAGAAATATATAGTTTTTGTTTTAGAGTATAATATATATGTAATGTGAGTGTAAAGAGTTATTTTAGTTCCTACTATTTCAACATTGTAATATAATATATATGTAATGTTAGTATGAAAAATTATATGCAATCAATATATTATTTACCATTTATTTATATTATAAATAATGATTAAAGATAAATGACCAATGGTATGTATATAAATATTTACCCTTACCCTATATTTTCTACTCAATTAAATAAGCATGGAGGTAAAAAACTTGAGAGGCACTGTGCAAAATTGATTAATTGAATTCCCCCTTAGCCCAACCCTCTCAAAATTCTTCATGATTGCGGCACAAAATCCTCTATTTGGTACAATTGAGAGTGAGAGTGAGACACAAAATCCTTAGTACCCTATCCAATTCCATTGCTATATCTCCTTTTTCATTTCCAATTTGTTGTCTCCACAAAATCCTCTATTCAGGTCCTTTCGCCGGACCCACCTTCTACACCGCCTAATTCCTTCAGGTCTGCTTCTATATATATATATCACTTCCATAATTAGTTTTTCATTAAGTATCACTTCCATTTCTTATTCTATTTTTTGATTGCAAGCTGTTTGATAAAATGCTTCTGTATAAATTAATGCTGATGGTGCTTATTGTTTTACTTATCATACCAGGAACAAAAAATTAGGTTGCAGTCATGATTTTTTTTCAAAATGATTTTCTGGTGAAACTATTGAAAATGGCATGTTTTGAGAGAAATGGTTTTCACCCGCTTATGGTTTATAGGAAGTTGTTAAAACAATGATCATGATTTGAGAGTTGAGTTGAGAGCTAACCATAGTTACCTGTTACAGGGTATGGGTATGCGGTCATCACTTTTATATTAATCTTATGAGTCATTCTTTATGAAGAATCCAAAATGCGGTACACAGTACATACATTGAATTCGGTTAATAGGGTAAATGAGAGGGTTATGTAACTATGGAGCAGACATTGCAAGAAACATGCAACCATTGAATTTTTTCTGCAATGTGATGTGATTGAGAGATATCTATTGTTGTTGTGACTGATTGTGCCATTCTGGTACACTAGGGCACTGATTAGCAAAATCTTTTCTAAATAGGAACGTATTTGTAAAATTACCAAAAACCTGAGGAGAGTTGAATGTGATATGTCCAATGCAATATTATACAAACACTAAATGTTAAAGTCATTAATTGCAGTGTCACTTCCTCCAAGTACCTTTTAATGCTGCGTCTTGCACTGCGAAGAGCTTCTTCTCCGGCTAACATCTCACGCACCATCCTAAATCCTCACTGGTTTTATTCTGGTTCGGCCTCGAGCCCAAGTCTTTCAATATGGAGGCGGAAGAAGGAAATCGGCAAAGAAGGCCTCATCATTGCTAAAGAGCTTAAGAGGCTCCAATCCAATCCGGTTCGGCTCGACCGCTTCATCCAGTCACAAGTTTCTCGCTTGCTTAAGTCCGACCTTGTTGCGGTCTTGGCTGAGTTCCAGCGACAGGACCAGGTCTTTCTCTGCATGAAGGTTTGTGCTTGCATTTTCTTGTTTCATTGTTGATGTCTTTTGTTACCCATTAATTTCAAAAGGTACAATGAGTAGCTTCTAAAACTTGTTTTTTTCTTCAAAAGCTTACTGAATCAGTTAGGATATTTTAAAAGTATTCTTTTAAATATAACAGGTTATCTTAAACAAGTGGAACCTTATTCTCTGTCTTTCTCTTTTACTGTTAGATGTGTGACAGCATGAGAAGGTTATGCGATGGGTTTTATTTTATTGGACTTAAGTGTTTGCTATGAGAAGCTACAGAGAGAATTAACTAGTATTTCAGCATAGCTTGAAACTGAAGTTGCTTCCTTTGCTTTAGGCCTTTATGATACTGCACTTATGACCAAAAGTTGCCTGCTTTACTATAATGTGTGGCAAATGTCTAATACAAATTTAACCAGAAGGAAAATCAAAACTGAAAAAGTTAAAATTTCAAGTAACATATTATTACTTATTTATGATACTGAGTTCCTGGTGTTGGCTTTGATTTGGTTAACTATTTTTTTTTATGGAAAATTTAGTTAACTATTTGGTCTCATATTTTCAAATGCATCAGTTATTGAATGCTCATAACAGGACATTTGTCTTTTATTAGTCATACATGCTTTTGTTGACAAATCTTTCATTTCTCAGTTGTATAATATAGTGCGCAAAGAAATATGGTACAGGCCAGACATGTTCTTTTATAGGGACATGCTTATGATGCTTGCAAGAAACCAAAGAGTGGAAGAAACAAAGAGGGTTTGGAGAGATTTGAAGGGAGAGGAAGTTCTATTTGATCAGCATACATTTGGAGACATCATTAGAGCATTTCTGGATGGTGGATTGCCCTCAGAGGCAATGGAAATATATGAAGAAATGAGACAATCTCCTGATCCCCCTCTTTCATTGCCTTTTCGCGTGATATTAAAAGGACTCGTTGCATATCCAGAATTAAGAGAGAAAGTAAAAGATGACTTCTTAGAGATTTTCCCGAATATGATCATCTACGACCCTCCTGAGGACTTGTTTGAGAATAGTGAGCAGGCTAGTGATGAAGATGATAAAGATATCATTGCTTAGTTCCATTGGCTCCTATAATATGATCTGCATTATTCTCTGACATTATATTCACAGAAAACAGTGATGTTTGCAGCATATTTTATACACTGGAGCAACCTGAGGTCGATTAACATTGAGACGCGGTAGCTGTCATTATTAAGTATCCTCAAACTGTTTTAGTTCTCTCTTCTGATCCCAGCTTTGAGATTTTCCAACTATAGAAGCTCTTCCCCCTCCCAATTTTAAATCATTGTACATCTCACCTTCAACAATGTAATGAATGTTGATGATACATTAATTTGATAACATTGGTCATAATGGATGCTGGTGGTTGTTCAATGGAGAAGATTACAAGATATTCATAATTTCCTTTGTTGATAAAATTATTCAATGTTCTCTTTTCCTTTTATTGTTCCATGGGAATACCAAATTTAAGAATCTCTTGCTCCCACTAAAGTATATAGAAATGTTCCTATAACAGAAATACCATTCCTCTTCAACTGTTTGTTAGAAGTTTGTGTATTTATGCTCTTGACATAATCTGATTAAAACATTTAGCTATCTTTTACTATCTACCTCATTGTTATTGTTATTCATGGGTTGGAGTTTAAATTAGTGGAATAATTTTGTGTTGTGGAACGCACTGTATATGGCTTAACATTTGCTTAACTTACATGCTTGTTTTAACTTTTCTTTATATATTTCTGTTACTTAAAAGCTTAAAGTTTAAGGTTATGACCAAAGATTTAGAAGTAATTTAATAGGGGAGGGATCCACTTACTCCAAGAGTAATTGGAGTAAGTGGAAAAACACTTACTCCAAGAGTAATTGGAGTAAGTGGAAAAACACTTACTCCAAGAGTAATTGGAGTAAGTGGAAAAACACTTACTCCAAGAGTAAGTGGAAAAACACTTACTCCAAGAGTAAGTGGAAAAACACTTACTCCAAGAGTAAGTGGAAAAACACTTACTCTTGAGTAAGTGGAAAAACACTTACTCCAAGAGTAAGTGGAAAAACACTTACTCCAAGAGTAAGTGGAAAAACACTTACTCCACATCATGACCATTCATTCTTGGAAATCCAATGGTTTGAATTGGTGAGTACATCTAAACCATTGAATTTTTCAAGATTTGATGGCTAAGATGAAGAGTAAGTGTTTTTTGGAGTAAGTGGATCCCTCCCCAATTTAATAATGTAAAAGTTTGTAATGTTTTATAATATCTCATATTATTGTCAATAATTTATCCCATTAATCATTTTACAGCATAAACTTTTGTCATGAGAGCATGTTCAGAAACATATTTGTATGATTATTTCGCTCTTATATAGCATTCTGTTGAGGGGTATAAATACCATTCCCAATTCTCATTGCAAAAATCAATGAATTCTTGTTGATGTGAACTCACCCCCTAGGACCCAGACGAAAGACCTTTTATAACTAAACTAGTCTCTTTCTCAACTTGATTCTTATATTTTTTTAAAGTCAATAAAAACTTCTGATTTTTCAACCAGAAACTAAACCCTTATTTTTTACTACTAAAGTATTGTAACAAGCTTTCTTCTTTAGTTATGTTGTTGCAGACAGTTTGAAACATCCAATTTGAAGACATTGCAATCTCCAAAATCAACCTCTTTTCAGGATGGTAAATTTTTTGCATCAAACCCCTTCTCAGTCACCTACCTGATTTAATTTTTGAACATAGTGGATAACAGGAAGTCTGGGAGCTACTGGGTGATTCTCGCTTAAGCGAGAGGAGCTCGCCCAAGCGAGGGACTCAGTGTTGTTCCCAGGTATTTTTCTGGGTTTATCGCCTGAGCGAGACGGAGCTCGCTTAAGCGAGAGAGTGGTGTGGCCTCGGGACGAATCTCGCCTGGACGAGAAAATATTGCCCGAGCGAGAGCATCAGTTCCTGAATAATGCGAAGGGTCGTGGGTTCTCGCCCAAGCGAGCCTACCCTCGCTTGAGCGAGAGTCTAAAATCTTAAAACCTAAAATGGACATCCTAAGTGAGGATTGGGTATTATTTTCGAAAAAACAAGAGAAGAGGAACGGTTGGAGGAGTTGTGCACCCTTAGAGTCAAGGAAAAGACCGGAGAAGAGGTAAATCGTTTAACTTAGTCTCTCTTAGGGTTGAATGTCATAATTTTGAATGGGGTTTCCTCTCCATGTTTAGGGATAAAAACTCATAAACCCTCTCTTGACATTGCGGTTCGTTTTGCTTTGGAAAACCTTGTAAAGCTCATAGAGTATGTGAGAAGTTGTATTCAAAAACCGTAGAGTCATGGTAATATTAAGGAACACCTTTTATTGAAGATGAAACGAATAGATGATGTTTTCTTATGTTGTGTGAGTATTGGTTAGTACTATAAGTGTTTTGATATGCAAATTCATGTATTGTAATTGTTGTTGTTTTGGGTTGAAAGACCTTAAGGTTGGAGGAGACGGCAGAGAACGCAACTGAGCTTTAGTGTAAAGCCTTAGCAAAATACTCAGGTGAGGGAGCAGCATTAGAATCATCACATTGGAAACTCCAACGACACTCACTAGTTGGAGAATTTCATTTGGTTAACACGATTAAACAGGAAATCTCATGAGTTTCCTATTTAACCGCGTTAGTCCCATTGTTGTGAATGGCTTGTTTGACTATGGTATGGATTTTGACCTGCCTTCGTGGTATGGACTTTGACCTGCCTTCGTGGTATGAATTTTGACCTGCCTTCGTGGTATGGATCTTGACCTGCCTTCGTGGTATGGATTTCGACATGCCCTTGTGGTATGGATTTTGGGTATGCACCTGTAGTGCGGATTTTGATTGTGGTCCGAATGGTTGACAGTTGATTGTACTATGGATGAGTGGTATGGTTATGATTGATGGTTCATTGAATCTCATGGATGTATTTGTGTTGTAACGATGTGTAGTTCCTGTTTCGCAATGTTCTAATGTTATTATTCTATTTAAACCCACCATGTTATATATTGCATGTATTTAATGATTAACTCTCTCTATGTTGTCTTGTTTACTCAATCCGTGGTAATCGGATTGTAGTTGGAGCTAAGGAATAGGAACCTTCAGAGTCTTGGAGTAAATTAGCTTGCATTGGTTTTGGCGTGTGATTTCCGAGTTATCTAGAGGATTGTTTAAGTTGATATTGGACCCGTTTATGAGAATTGTTCATTTATGTTTTGATGTTCTCTTAATAGATTTCAAATGACTAGTGTTGTGGAATTACTGTACTGTTATTCCTTTTATTGTTTCACTCATACTAATGGAGTGGTGTTGGTTGAATTGAATTTTAATGAGTATATCTATTAAGAGTATTATTTATTAAAATAAAAGATTGAATTTCCGTGTTAGAAATTTGAGGTGTCACACTGATCAATAGTTATCTGATACATAGTATGGATACATAGTTCACTTGGGTATATCGTTCGTCACTTTTTATGTTAATTTTATGAGACATTCAATAGGGTGAATTCATGGTAGAATTATGTAACTGAGTTGATCAATACTTTATAAGTTATTTCTTAACTTTGGATTCTAGAAGACAAAATACACTTGGATGTATATGTAGAATTCCATTTACCAGAAGTTTATTTTTGCCTTTTTCCATCACATTCATGCATGAATTGTCTCCCAGTTACACATTTGTCAGAAAGTTTTCATAAAGCTCAGCAAAACAGTGACACATATGATTGCTGCTTCCAGAGTATGGATACAATAATTCCTCTTTATCCTTCACATATGACATCAATAGCAGTTCTCCACCTCCTTCAACATAATTTGCTGAATTTGATTACTTTGTTTGACTCTCATTCATATTGTCACTTCATGTGTCACTTGTTTTATTAGTGATAATAACATTCGAATTATATTTATCAAAATCCTCGCATTCCACCACAACCTCATTCTCTTCCTCCAGAAGGTTCACCAAAGAGTTACCTTTCAAAACCTGCTTTTCTACAACATGAGATCACATTGGCTGTCATGTACTAGAAGACTGCTTTATGATTCATCAATTGTAAGACCATTCAATTCATTTGACTCCTCAATAGAACACAACATATTTAAACTCACACCTAAATAATTCTTTTTACCCTACATATAGTGAATATATATATCAACACTTCCATAGAGGTAACGTTTTTCTCATCCTTGTATTTTTATTTGACATTTCCTTAGTTTAGATTCCTCCCTCTCCTTAGAAGAGAGAGTAATCTTCTTTCAAATATTGTGTATGTCTTCTCCTATGTAGTGTTGCTCATAGATATTGAATATATATATATATATATATATATATATATATATATATATATATATATATATATATATATTACACATTCAATTTATGCAACATAAGTTTAGCTTTTAAAGAGTTTATTGAAGAAACATTGTTGATTAGTTGATTCCAAAAATGTTAAATCACTCTCTTTGGTACATCTTAATATTACAGTAGGACTAAGGAAGCGTCATGGCCAAAACAGGATAAAATGATAACAGAGGCCATTTAAAGGGATAGAGATATGTTCAAAGGTATACAAAATTTACACCATGACTAAAAAAAGGCCATCAAAATAGATTACAAATAAGTTATCACTGAAAATAGTAACTTCATATATCAAATGAAGACTTAATCCCCTAGCAGGCAAAGTGGCTGTCTCATGCTAAGCTCGAGTTTAAGCGCGGGAAATCGCTCCAAATCATGAGAAGCACTTAAAATTTTCTGCAAATTATCAGTTTTTGACAATTGTAATTAATCTTAAATTTTAGAAATTTAAAAGAAATAGCATAATGAGTAGATACATTGAAATATAACATAAAAGTGTTTGGATTAGAAACCAGTGTTATAGGCATAAGTGGTATGCATGCCATCAGGCCTCACGTGTCACTACTTGAGATGCTTTTGAAGATAGAAAGGGCGATCTATTGCACGAAGCTTCTACCTAGTAGGGTCTATGGAGTATAGATGTATGCAACCTTACTCTCGCAAACGAAGAAGCTGCTAAGATGGTTTTGAAATTGAAAATATCATAAAATAATCAGAAGCCTAATGGTATGGATGAAAAAGTCACAGAAAGCTAGTATCTTATTTAAACTGACAAACAAATTATGTTGGATGATATTCCTCTTTGGCATGACATATAGAATAGCAACATGTCATGCCATTCAGATGCTTGTCATCTCAACAAATTATAAGGTGGTGTTTGATATCATAGGCATCTCACTTAGGACTATGGTTTTCCCGTGTTCGATAGAAGATTAGAAAGAAAAAATCGCCCAGGCAAGTGAAATTCATTGGGCATCATATTCCCAGGAATGTGCTCCAAATCATGTCGGATACCAAATAATAACAAGGACTCCTCTAAAAAAGAAAGTATAAGGACCAAATTAGAAATAAGTGTAAACAGACTATGACAAGCAAAAAACTTAACCGAAGCAAAGTACTATTAGCAGATAACTGTCATAGTAAGTAACTCAATAACTATGAGGGATATTATAAAAAAAAAATATTTACCAGTGCTGCAATGTGTGCATCTTGCAAAATATTTCCATCAGCTTCCAATCTAGCAACAGGAAATTCAGGAAGATGTCCAGATTGTTTCTTGCCAAGCAAGTCACCAGGTCCACGTAACAAAAGATCCACATTAGCAAGATGAAAGCCATCTGACGATCTCTCTAAAACTTTCAATCGACTGAGGCTACTCGAAGTTGACGCAACTAGTATACATTTTGACGCCTTAACCCCACGTCCAACTCGCCCTCTGAGTTGGTGTAGTTGAGCAATTCCAAACCTCTCAGAGTTCATCACAACCATCATAGACGCATCTGGAACATCAACACCGATCTCAATTACTTGAGTAGCAAGTAGTATATCCAGTTCTCCGGACCTAAACTTTCTTAATGTTTCTTCTTTTTCATCGCCTTTCATTTTTCCATGTAATAAACCACAATTATATCCTTCAAACCGGCTTGATATAACTTCAAGATCTGCAGCAGCTGCACGAAGCTGAGGCAACTGCTCGGAAAGTTCGATAATTGGGTAGACAAGATAAACTTTTCCCCCATCTTCCAACTCATCCAACATCATCTGTCATAATCAAATGTATAAGCAAAAATTATACAAAACACGACAGCTTTAATCTTATCAGCAAAGCACACATTTGAGCCTGATCGAGAGCTGATTGGTTGACAAAATATTCTTGTAAAATAGTGGACACTGGTCAGTGTATTGTACCGCACTACAGCTCTCTACAATGTTGACTTTTTGTGTGGATTAGGTAGAAAAGGGATAAAGGAGAGATAAGTAACAACTATAATTCACTTATCAGGTCCAAATAGGTGTGATACAAGATGATGAGCATTTATACTAACATTACTAGTATTCGTACCAAAACTATCAAATGACAAATATAGACCCCACTTTAGGTGCACGAAAAGTAAATTCTTAATTAACTACTAAGACTACCCTAACTAATTATCTAGTAAAATCTAATATCTCTCAGCAATACAAAGATTACAATCAGGTCAACAATATTTCTATGACATATTGAAAAGAAACTTAATATATACAAATTAAAGCTTGCTGTATTCTCATCTCTCTTTTTCCAACATTAGGTGTAATGCTTTGGAACATGACAGCAAGACTAAGTTCATTGACGTTCAAATGTTGATTAAATGAATAAAAACCAATGGAGTGTGTATTGGAAGGAAATGTTTGATCCTCGTCTAAACAGTAGATAATAGTAGAGCATGTCATACAGAGGCATGTTGAAGCCCTGTCACCAAGACTCCATTGTCTAAATTGAAATTACAGTCAATTACATAAATAAAAGGGAAATATTTGCCAAAATTCTACCAGAAAAAATAATAAAAGGATTGTCACCTTGTAGACATTCTCAAATCCTTTGTCATTTCCTTCAATGGTATAGGTTTTAACAGGAATTCTTCCCGGAGGTAAGTCGGTTATCTATGATAGGAGAAAGCAGAGAAGTAAGCATTTGCAACAAAAAAATAATTTTACATACTAAATTGAGAAGAGAAGGAAAAACTAATCAGAGATGAGTGAAACAATCAGCATAAAATTTCTCTCATAAATTGTTTAATGGTCCCTTTTTTTGTTTAATATTATTTTCATAATAGAGTTTTATGATGTCATTCTATCTTCGCAGCCGACCCTACCTAGTTGGAGTAAGGCTTGACTGTTGTTTTTTCATAATAGAAACAAACGAATTACCAGGAAAGGCAGAAACTAATAAGACAGCATATTATCACAACATGAGGATGTAAAAGTATATCCAAATTAGGGAGTCTTTCATCCCCCCATTCTTAATAGCAGGCTTTAGGAACTCTTTTTAGAACACAATAAGATAGACCCAACAAATTACCCAAGTGTTTCAAGGACACAAACCTTAACTGTTCACTCAAAATTCCACAAAAGATCACTGTAAGTACCAAAAACTGATAGTGATATAAAACCTAAAACCTACCCAGAAATCTAATACCCAGGGACACTTTGGACAAGATTATGATGAAATATAGGACGAATGTTGATTATAGACACCAAACATATTCTAACATAATTGAGGATAAAGGGAGGGAAAAAAAAAATTTATAAAAAGGAAGGGAAGATGTTTGGCATCAAAATCATAAGCAGCAAAAAATAAGTACCTGTGTCAGTGACATATCACCATATAAAGCAAGTGCAAGTGTCCTTGGGATGGGAGTAGCGGACATGGCAAGAACATGGGGGGCCATATAAGCATCACTTTTTGAGGAGCTATCCGTAACAGCTTCTTCCAAGCTCAAAATTGAAGATGAATAGTATAACTAAGAGAAAAGTTAGGAGACCACCAAACAATATTGATAAAATTAGACACAAGGAAAAGAGCAATGAAGACATTACACCTAGGATTCTAGGAATAAGAAATCTAAGCCATGCATGCAAAGGTACCACTTGCAGCAGCAAGGTAGAAATAATTTCCATGAAAAATGTAAAATGAATGTTTGCCAGTTACCTACGAAATTATAAATCCACCAACTGAATAATCCTTGTGCGGGCCTCACAAATGATCATCAATCAGCTTTTTCATGGTTGTTCATATGAACTAAATTTAAATAATTGCCTCTTATATCTAATCTAACTACTTTAAATAAATACTTCGGAGTCATTTATCATGTCCATTGTTTTTTATACAGGTCAAAGGCTTAAATTCATCCATATAGCTAACCTGATTTAATTGTTGCTATATGTACATGTGCATGATTTTTTTATAGAAAAGAGGGT